CTGAGGCGAACCAACCCTCGGGGGCATTCACTTTGCCGGAGACTCAAGCTCCATCGGCTTGGAACAGAGATTGGGCCAAGGTGGCAATGCTTGGAACGTGTGGTGCATATGTCCTAGGGGCCTTTGTGTTCTTGACCATGTGGGTTCGGGCAAGGCTGGGGCTGGCTTACTTGGTGCGCGCCGCCGGTGATGTTCCGGGGAGGGTTCGAGCAGAGCTTGTACGGATTGCAGGTGACCGTGCGGAAGGAGTCCGGCTATTGGCAAGTGAGGCAATCGTCGGCCCAATCACCTGGGGAACCCGGCGGCCGACCATCGTGATCCCGAAAGCCTCTCTGGGAGAAGATCAAGAGCTTCGACTGCGCTATTATCTCGCTCACGAATGGGCCCACATAGCGAGCCGAGACTTCATTACCTGGCAGGTCGCAACTCTACTGCAATTTTTTCTCTTTTATCAACCACTGTTCTGGTGGCTACGACGTCGCTTGGCTGTTTGCATGGATCAATTGGCCGACGCGAAGGCTTCTGAGCAAGGGAATTCGGCAATTGATTATGCCGACTTCCTGCTCCAGCATGCGCGGCAGCGAGTTTTGCGGGAATCGCAATTGGCTTTGGGTATTGTCGACCGAAGGTCGAGCCTGCGTCAGCGTGTTGTCTTCCTACTGCAAGGTGTGGCTGGGCTGAGATCCACGTGCTCTACACCCCGCAGCATGACCGTGGGTGCTGCAACAATCCTGGTTGTAATCTCTCTCTCGGTTGTCCGCCTCGATGCCCAACCGACGTCTGACTCAGCGGCACTACAGGAGAACTCCGAAACGTCGTCGGCTACCGAATCGTCAATCGTCTCCGAGTCTGATGATGGCACGCTCACCTATTCGTGCATTGTGACCGACGGCGACACCGAAGCTCCTATCCCAGGGGCAAAGGTCAAGGTCTACCACAAGAACAGTCGCGATTGGAACACCCTGGAAGTTACGGAGCATGTGACAGATGCCGCGGGGCGATACCGCCTAATCATTCCACCGGAGCAGGCCGCACTTGGCTCGCTATACCTTGAGGTCGAAGCCGATCATCCGAACTACTGTCCAAGGGATCGCAGGGGGTATTCTCATGCGATGATTCGCAAGAACTTGAAGTTAGGCGAGATTCCGTTTTTTGCTCACATTCGGCTCTGGCCCGGCGAGGCAGTTACGGGGATGGTCGTGTCGCCCGAAGGCGAGCCGTTGGCCGACGTCGAGGTCTCGATGTATTCCAAATCAGACCAGATTCAAGAGTTGTTCGAAGGTTCTTGGGGCAAGACCAGGACCAATGCGGATGGAACTTTCCGTATCGTTCCAGCGACTCCTGGTGACGGCGTGCTGTGGATTAAGCCAGAAGAATACTCACCACAGGCTCACCGCCTTGCAGAGCGACGCGGTGATTGGGGGCAGATCACTGTTGCGAAGGGCACCGATGTCACAGGCCGAGTCTTGGATGTGGATGGCGATCCAGTAGGCGGCGTCAAAGTGGAAGCGCGAAGCCGCGACGAGGGTGACGCCGTGGACGAGTTTCTCAGAGAAAACGCCGTGGGCGGTCAAATCGGCCGCAGAACGGTCACTGATTCCAATGGTAACTTTACACTGGCGTCTCTCCCTGCAGGCGACTACGTGCTGTCGATTGAACCAGACAGCGAGGGCTATGATCCACCCCCACTAGACCAGGTGTTCCTGCGGCAAGAGATTTCAGTCGTGGACGGTAGGGTTTTTGAACCACTCGAGATTCGCGCCGTTCCGCACGTGGTAATAAAGGGCCGGTATTTTGATAGTTCTGGAAAACCACGCAGTGGCCACCAAGTTGCGCTTGCGGGGGAATTCAATTCCAAGTTTTTTTACGTCCAGAGCAATGACCCGGGCAAAGACGGATTGTTCGAAGTTCGGGGGCCACGTGGACTTACTGATGCTCGGATCAACCTGATAACCAATGAGCACAGTGCGCTGCGGTGGAGACTTCGCCCCGACAAGGAACTCGAGGCCAGTCATTATGTCGATCTTGGTACTCTCGAAAGTGACATCGACGGGTTCGAGGTGTTTCGATACGTCGCACCGATCCTGTTGGTGAGAGCCATTGATGAAGAGGGAACGCCGATCAAAGATTTCAAGCCGGTACTGACCTATGGCAACAGAGAGGTTGAAGGCGAGCCGTTCACTCTCTGGACCACGGGTCATAGCGTTCATTTTGAGGATCAACAGGACGGTCGCTGGCGATCATCGCAATTGCTGCCGGACGAGCTATTTCGCATCACGCTCGAAAAGGACGGTTATTCGACAACGCCGCAAGAGTTATCGCTACCTGAGGGAGGTGAGAAGGAACTCACTTTCGTGCTTAAGACAGATCCTTCTGAAGATGCATCCCTAGACAAGGAGACGCCGGGTGGAGGTTGAGTAGGTGGTGTGTTTTGTTCAGATGGAGCCATGCGAGGTTGCCTTCGATAACCAAATACCTACCCCTTCTTAGCCCTGTCTCCAAACAGCGTTTGCATTAGATCATGTGTCTTGATCGGCCTGGGGCTTAAGAACACTTCGGCGGCTAGGCAGCCGGCGGCTAGGCCTTCGGCGGTGTTGATGGCGCGGATGCCTTCTAGGGTGAGGGCTTTGGCGGGGGGGAATTGGGTTTCGTAGCAGCGGACCGCTTCCATTTTGGTTTCTAGCGTGTCGGCGATGTCTACCACGAATTGGGCCGACGTGGGGGAGCGTGGGCCGGCGAAACCGATTGAGTAGTACAACTGCGTGGAGACCTTGTGCACGGGCAGGTCGTCGAAGTAGCTGTCCCACTTGGTGAGACGCGAGTAGAAGATCGCGGCGTCGGTGATTTGCATCGCCTGCCAGTGGTCGGGCGAGGCCAGCGGGGTTTTGTCGCCGAAGCCGATCACCACCCGGGGGCGATACTTGCGGAACTCGGTGGCCAGGGCGACCCGGGCTTCGAAACTATCGAACAGTCGGCGGTTGGGCAGATCGAGCGTGACGCGAACCTCGACGCCAAGTTTCTCGGCCGCCTTGCGGGCTTCTTCCATACGCACCTCTGGCCCGGGCGACGCGGGGGTGGGCTCGCCGTCGGTGAGGTCGATGATGCCGACGCGGTATCCCTGACTGGCCAGCTTGGCTAACGTGCCGCCGCAGGCGATCTCCACGTCGTCGGGATGGGCGCCAACGGCAATGCAATCGAGCTTGGGATAGTCGTTGGGGTTGGCCATGGTGTTTTTGGGGGATGGGTTTTGTATTGGGTGGTGGTGATGCTTGGTGGTTTCTAGATGAGGGTTCGAACTTGCTGAGGAAGATTGAACTTCAAGACAAGACCTCTGGCGGCTGCGCCGCACCGGATCGAGATCCGGTGGTACCCTGTGAGTGCGAACCTGTTTGTGGAATCAGCACTGCTGGACGAGCCAGCAGTGGCACCCGACTTATGTGATCAAGTACCAAACTTGAATCAGAAAGCTCTATGTACTGATTGACGCATCGAAGTCGGCGGAACTTACTTTGCTACTTCCTTTGCTATTTCACTACGGCTAGCAGGAAGCTGGGGTTGAGGGCTTCGAAGCGGACGCGTTCTAGTTGGTAGGTGCCGCGGGCGAGGTTGACCATGAGTACCTTCACGTCTTGGTTGCGTTGCTGAAGCGAGGCGTGCACTTCCGACAGGTTTTCGATACTGCCGACGTTGGCTACCAGGCGGCCGCCGGGTTTGAGGCTTTCGTACGCGGCGCAGACCACCTTGCCAATTTCGCGTCCGCTGCCGCCGACGAAGATGGCATCGGGGGCGGGCAGCGACTTCCAGGCGTCGGGGGCTTTGCCGAGGATGGGCTGCAGATTCTTGCAGCCGAACCGCTCGCTGTTTTCGACAATGAGCTGATAGTCTTCGCTGTCCATTTCGATGGCGTATGTTGTGCCGCCGGAGGCGATCTGTGCGGCTTCGATCGCTACCGAGCCGCTACCGGCGCCGATGTCCCACACGGTGCTGGTGGGGCCAAGGTCCAATTCGGCCAGAGCGATGGCGCGGACTTCGGCCGGGGTGAGCAGCCCGCTTTTGGGTTTCGATTGCAGGAAGGCGTCGTCGGGGTTGCCGAAGAGACGATGCCCGATGGCTTCGCTGGGGCGGTCGGGCACATCGGGTTTGCGAAGCAGGATCATCACGTTGAGCGGCGCGAATTCCTGCTGCGCCAGGTCGGTGAGTTCGCCCTGGGTTACGCGTTCGTCGGGCGAGCCGAGGTTCTCGCAGACGTAGCCGAAGAAGTAGGTCACTCCGCGGTCGAGCAAGGCTTGAGCGACGCGGCGGGGCGGGGATTCTTCGGTGGTGAACAGCCCGACTTTTTCGGCCACGCGAATCCGCTCGATGACGCTTTCCAGCGGGCGGGTGTCGAGGTTGGTGAGGTAGGCCTCTTCCCAACTTTCTTTCACCCGGGCGAAGGCCATTTGCATGCTGCTGACGTGGGGGACGACCTCGAAGTGTTCTTTGCCCAACTGGTCGCACAGGTAACGGGCGGTGCCGTAGAACATGGGGTCGCCGGAGGCCAGCACCACGGCTTTCTTGGTGCCGATGTTCTTCAGCCGGTCGACGACGTCGTCGAGATTGCCGCCGGTGGGGAGATGTTCGGCCTTGCCCTTGGGCATGAGCTTCAGCAAGGCGTCGCGACCTACGAGCAGGTCGGCTTGTTCAACCAGATCGCGGGCCGAGGTGGTGAGCCCTTCGAGCCCGTCGTCGCCAATTCCGATGATGTGTATCTGTTGAGAATCGACCAAGGTGTCCGGCCGTCGCTTTCGCTTGAGGGGAAACGAGTCGTCAGTCCACGGAAAACCCGAGGGTTTAGACCTCGAATTCTACGCCCGTGGCCATTGAGGCTGCAACCGCCGAGACTTGAATGCGGGGTTGGGTTGCGGTAGAACCGCCGCTTGACTGGGAATGTGTTTGAGGCGTTTCCAGGTTGCCCGCCGTGTTGTGGTCCCTCCCGTTCACCCTTCGAGAAGAAGATTGCTATGCCACGCGTTTTGGTTACTCCGGCGATGCTGCATGAAAAGGGCGGTCCGTTTCGTGACATACTCGAAGCAGCGGGACTTGAAGTGGTGTTTCCGACCGGCGGGCTGGCGTTGATGGACCCGGTGACATTGCAGTCGAATCTCGAGGGGATCGATGCGGTGCTGGCGGGCATGGAACCGTTCAATCGCGACGTGCTGAGCACGACCAAACTGCGGGCTATCGCGCGTATGGGCGTAGGATACGATGCGATTGATGTACCGGCGGCTACTGACTGCGGTGTGCCGGTGACGATTACCCCGGGGACGAATGAGCCTTCTGTGGCCGAGCAAACGCTGGCCCTGATTTTCGGCGTGATGCGCGGACTGCCCGAGCGGGCGCGGGAGGTTCGTAGCGGGCATTGGCTGCGTCAGACGTTACCGCGACTGGAAGGCAAGACACTGGGGCTGGTCGGGCTGGGCCGCATCGGCAAGGCATTGGTCCCGAAAGCGCATGGGCTGGGGTTGAAGGTGATTGCCTACGATCCGTTTGTGGCGCCCGAGTTGGCCGTGGAGTTGGGTGTTCGATTGTGCTCGCTCGACGAACTGCTGGAAGAAGCCGACATCGTGAGCTTGCATTGCCCCTTGAATGCCGAGACGCGGAATCTGATCGATGCCGACGCGATGGCGAAGATGAAGGTTGGTTCGGTGTTGATCAATGCCGCCCGGGGTGGAATCGTGGACGAAGGGGCGCTGGCCGACGCCTTGCGCCGTGGGCACTTGATGGGGGCGGGGCTTGACGTGTTCGAGACTGAGCCGTTGCCACTGGAGAGCCCATTGCTGGGGCTGGACAACATAGTGCTCACACCGCACATGGGCGGATTGGATCACGAATCGCAGGTGGCCATGAGCAGCCTGGCGGCCGAGTGCATCGCCAAGCTGTACCAAGGGCAATGGCCTGAGGGGTGCGTGGTGAACGATGAGCTTCGCGAAGGCTGGAAGTGGTAAGCCAGCATCAGCTCGATGGGCTGCTTCGCGCTTGAGAAACAAAAAACGCCACAGCACTGTGATTAGCGCTGTGGCGTTCTTGTTGGTTTGGTGAAGTTCGTCGCGGATTAGGCGGAGAACGAGCTTCCGCAACCGCAGCTCTTGGTGGCGTTGGGATTCTCGAAGGTGAATCCACGCTTCTCCAAGCCGTCGTAGAAGTCGACCACGGTACCGTCGAGGTACAAGGCGCTCTTCTTGTCGACAACCATGGTTACGCCGTGCCAGTCGTACTTGGCATCGGTCTTTTCGTCGTATTCTTTGTCGAAGCCCAAGCTGTATTGGAAGCCGCTGCATCCGCCGCCTGCAACGCCGACACGCAACACGGTTCCGTCGTCGAGCTTCTGCTCTTCAATGATTCGCTTGACCTCCGAGGCGGCCTTTTCGCTTAAGGTGACAGCCATCTTACTTGCGAGCTCCAATTTCTCGGGTGATTCTTAACAACCGGTTTTTGACAACCAGGGATGTGTAAATTATATCATCCCGCCGACTGAGGGAAGTCCCAATTGCCAGCACTCGTCAGGGTACGGTGAATGGGCCGCTGATGCAACCCTGGAATACATTTGCTAAGCGTATGTCAGGACGTGACTTGCGACGATTGGCCCAGCCGACGGAGACGCTCCACCGCGGTGGCCACGGTTTCGATGGCCACGTCGACATCTTCTTCGGTGTTGAATCGCCCCAGCCCGAAGCGGAGGCTGGCCCTGACCAGATCTTCATCGATCCCCAGGGCCCTCAGCACGTGGCTGGGCTCGGGATTGGCCGACGTGCAGGCGCTGCCAGAGCTGACGGCCAGTTGCCGCATTTTCATCATGAGGGCCTCCCCGTCGACATCGGCGAAGCTGAGGTTTAGATTGCCGGGCAAGCGGAAGTCCAGCGGGTCGAGCACTGGGCCATTCAGGGTGAGTTTTTCAACGCGGTTCCGCAGACCGTCGTACAGCCGTTGCCGCAGGGCTGCGAGGCGCGCTCTTTCGCTCGGTAGTTCGTCGAGGCACAGTTCCACGGCCCGGGCGAAGCCGACGATGCCGGGGACGTTGAGCGTGCCGCTGCGAAGGCCGCCTTCTTGTCCGCCGCCGTCGATCTGCGACTGCAGCCGCACGTGGGGTTGGCGTCGCCGCACGTACAGGGCGCCCACGCCCTTGGGGCCATAGAGCTTGTGCGAGCTGAAGCTCATCAGGTCGACCTGCAGGGCTTCGACGTTGACGTTCATTTTGCCGACGGCTTGTGTGGCGTCGCAGTGCAGCAGAACGCCCTGTTCCTTGCAGATGCGACCGACTTCGGCCAAGGGATGGATGGCGCCGACTTCGTTGTTGGCCAGCATCACGGAGACCAGCACGGTGTCGTCACGAATGGCGTCGGACACCTGCTGCGGGTCGAGGATACCCATCTGCGGGCTGCCGGCGCCGGCGACTTCGAGTAGCGAGACTTCAAAGCCCCGGCGTCCGAGTCGTTCCAGCGGATCGAGCACGGCTTTGTGTTCGGTGACGACGCTGATGAGGTGGTCGCCGCGACGGCGTTGGCGTTCGGTGACGCCGCGAATGGCCAGGTTGTTACTTTCGGTGGCCCCGCTGGTGAAGATGATTTCGCGGGGAGAGGCCCCAACGGCCGCGGCGAGGGATGCCCGGGCACGGTCGACGGCCTCCATTGCCTCAGACCCAAAACTATGACTCACGCTGCCCGGGTTGCCGTACAGTTCGGTGAAGTACGGCAACATCGCATCCACCACCCGCGGATCGACCCGGGTCGTGGCGTGGTTGTCCATGTAGATGCGTTCGTCGGGCATGGGTGTGTGGGTTGGATGTGGGCAGAGTGTGATTGTCGAAATCCATTATACGGAAAGCCGGGTAGCGCGTTTGCTGGCAAGCGCGAAATGGTGCCGCTCCGGTGGATCACAGATCGGTGGAAGAATTTCGTTTGAGATAGTCGCCCGCCAGTTCGCACATCCGCCCGAGGAACTTCAGGTAACCGCGCAGTGTGTTCCGTTGACCGCCCGGCCGTTGGAAAACCTCGATTACTCCTCGGACTTGTTGCCTGTGGAACAAGGGGCTCAGCACCAGCAAGAAGTCGGTTGGGTTATTGGCCTTGCTATCATCGGCCAACATAGCATTCGGCTGCACCAAGAGGCCCTCGTTGCTGGAGATTACATGATGCACCACTCGAGTGTGTCGTCGTTGGTCCTCGACATCTGGCGCCAGCCAAACATTGGCTAGACTTGACTCGCGCAGATTGACTTGGGATTGCAGTTTCAACTCACCGCTGTCCTCAAGCATCCAAACGGCTCCCCCTTTGGCTGCCAAGGCCTCTATGAGACGAGGGAGGAATAAGTCGAAGTACACCTGTGGGGCTACATCGCTTCGCGACAGCATGGCAATCTCATTCACCAGCTTGCGAATACGGAATATCGCCTCTTCTCTTTTTTTCTCATCATCAGTCATGCCTTGGCCTCACGTGCCGGGATGAGTTTTGGAGCATATGAAGATCAACCACAGTGACCCTACGCGCAGGCTGCAATAGTGAATATAGCCGTGAAGGACTAAAGGCAGCCGCATGATTGAGCGTAAGGCGCGACGTGGTTGAAAGCGAGCCCTGTAGCGCGATTGCTGACAAACGCGAATTAGAGTGGCAGGGTGGCTGGGGTGAGAATCTGGAATTGCTGTGGCGTACGGAACGCCACGGAGGACGTTCCCTACTGAAGTGCGGGAGGCTCGTGCCTTAGCCGAACAGCGCTTCTAAACAGATCTGCGACCAGGTTTCGAATTGCTTTTGGTTGGCGAGGAGGGCGTCGATGGGTTCGAAGCCGGCTTCGGCGATGTCAGTTTCGCGGGGGGAAATGGCGGGCTGCTTGACGTCGTAGATGTGGACGATGCCGAGATGCACTCGTCCGACTTCGGTGTCGTCGTCGTTGATCAGCCCGACGCAGGAGGCGTCGAATTCGGTTTCGATGGCGACCTCTTCTGACAGTTCACGCTGCAGCCCGATTTCGTAGGCGGCCGTGCCAGTGCGGTTGTCGGCGTCTTCGGAGGAGATGTGTCCGCCGATGCCGATGCTGCGTTTGCGGTGCAGACGGCCTTCGCCCTGACCGGTGCCGCGGGTGTATTGGAACACCATGTCGCCGTTCTGCGGATCGGTGTAGCGGAAGATGACGTACGGGATGAGCTGCTTGAAGCTGGGGTCTTCTTCCACTTCGTGACGGGCCCGGAAACTGAGGTGCTCGTCACGTAGCAGGCCATCGAGGTAACGCTGGGCGTCTTGCGAGAAGCCTTGGAAATGCCCGATGTCGTGAAAAACCGGCGTGGGAACTACCAGAACGCGTTCGGTTTGAACCTGAGACATCGTGCGAATCCTTGCGAAAGAGGTTCGAAGTGGCGAGCCATTGGGGCACAGTATAGCGCGGTTGATGGTGGGCTGACAATGATGCGGCGGGGGAGGCGGCGAAACGGATGGCAGGCGAAGCGGGTAGCCCAGGTTCTTGAACCTGGGTCGCCGCAGGCGACAAGAGGATTTATGTGAGGTGTTAGCTGCAGAAGACCTTTTACACTTCGCTCGAATCAACTCACGAGAAATTGCTGAGGAACCTAACAGCTACCGGCAGATAGAGATTCTAGCGAGCCCTCTGGCGGCTACGCCGCACCGGATCGAGATCCGGTGGCACCCAGATCATCGGCGATGCGGCACCACTGGACGAGCCAGCGGTGGCACCCACAAAACGATTCGCTTGCTGAGATTCTACAGAATCAGCATGGCGTCGCCGTAGCTGTAGAAGCGATAGTCTTCTTGGATGGCTTCTTGGTAGGCGCGTTGGATGAGTTCGTCGCCGCCGAAGGTGCGGACCAGGACGAGCAGCGTGGAGCGGGGGAGGTGGAAATTGGTGAGCAGTGCGTCGGTGGTGTGAAATTCGAATGGGGGGCGGATGAAGAGATCGGTTGAACCGCGAAAGGGTTGGAGTTCTCCTCCGCGGGCAGCGGTTTCGAGGACGCGGAGCGTGGTGGTGCCGACGGAGATGATTCTGCCTCCGCTGGAGCGGCGGCGTTTGATGGTGGAGACTGCTTCTTCGTCGACCTGGCACCATTCGCTGTGCATTTGATGCTCGGCCAGGGTGTCGACCTTCACGGGACGAAACGTGTCGAGGCCAACGTGCAAGGTGACGGTGGCGGTATCGAGGCCTTGCGACTTGAGCTGGGTGAGGAGGGCCTCGGTGAAGTGCAGGCCGGCGGTGGGGGCGGCCGCTGAACCGGGGGCGCGGGCGAAGACGGTTTGATAGTGCTGGCGATCTTCGTCGATCATCTCACCTTTGCGGATGTAGTTCGGCAGGGGAACACGCCCCAGGCGGTCGAGGATGTCCCAGGGCGACTCGTCGCTCTTGGGTAGCGCGACCCAGACGCCGCCCTCTTGTTTTTCGAGCAACCACAGTTCGATGTCTTCCTGGGCTTCGCGATCGATGAGGGTGATGGCGTCGCCGGGGGCGAGCTTGCCGCGGGTTTTGCAGATGATCCGCCAGAAGCCGTCGTCGTCGACCGAAAGGAACAGGCCTTCCCAACGACCGGAGGTTGATTTGCGGCGGCCAATGAGTCGCGCGGCGACGACGAGGGTGTCGTTCAGCACGAGACAATCGGCCGGGTTGAGTAGCTCGGGCAGATCGCGAACATGGGCGTGGGTCAGTTCACCCGAGCGGCGATCGACGACGAGCAGTCGCGCGTCGGCTCGATTCTTGAGCGGCTGCTGCGCGATCAATTCTCGCGGCAGAGCGTAGTCGTAATGGTCGAGTTCTGACATGATTGGCCCAAAGTAAAAGGATCCGTCCGACGGGGTGGCAGCCATCCTGGTCACCGAGTATAAGCCGCATGAGGTTTTCGTCGATTCCCCGGGGTTACCCGATATCTGCTGCTTCGACCGCAATTGATTCTATGAACCGTTCATATTCTCGCACGATAGCAATCGCTTTGTCGGTACGTCGGCCGATGGGAGCGATGCTATGAACAAGGGGAGTTCAACACCAATCAAAGTCACGCTGTGCACCACGGAATTGGCCGTGGGTGGGGCCGAGCAGGCGTTGGTCGAACTGGCTTTGGGGCTGGATCGCGAGCGTTTTCAGGTGCAGGTGGTGAGCTTGAGGCCAGCTCCTCCGGCCCCAAGAGATCGGCTCGTGCGGCGGTTGGGCGAAGGCGGCATCGAGGTTGAGTACCTGGGGGCGAAGTCGAAGCTGAGTGGGCCGCGAACGCTCATGCGACTCCGGAACTTGCTCCGTCGGCAGCGGCCCGATGTTCTGCAGACTTTCTTGTTCCATGCCAACGTACTGGGGCCGATGGCTGCGAAGAGGGCGGGTGTGCCGCAGGTGGTTACTGGGCTGCGGGTGGCCGAACGCAGTCGTAGGTGGCGAGCTTGGGCCGAAGCGAGGGCTTCGCGGAGTGTGGCGAAGCATGTGTGTGTGAGCCAGGCGGTGGCTAAGTTTGCGCATGAGGAAATTGGGCTGCGGGAAGAACGGTTGATGGTGATCCCCAACGGGGTCGACGCGCAGCGGTTTGCCTCGGCACGGTCGGCTGATGTGCAGCGGATGGGGATTCTGCCTGGACGCCGGTTGATTGCTTGTGTGGGGCGTTTGGATCGGCAGAAGGGACTCGACCGGTTGATGGCGATCGCTCCGCAGTTGCTTTCGCGATTGCCTGAGCACGACTTGTTGCTGGTGGGTAACGGCCCTGAGCATCGGATGATCGAGTCGGTCGCTCGAGAGAAGAACATTGCGCCGCGGGTGCATCTGGTGGGCTGGCAAGACGATGTGCCGGGCATTCTTTCAGCCAGCGAAATGCTCGTGCTGCCATCGCGATGGGAAGGGATGCCGAACGTGGTGCTGGAGGCGATGGCCAGCGGACTGCCGGTGGTGGCGATGCGGGTCGAAGGGGTGGAGGAGATTTTGGGCGAGTCGGCCAGCGAGCAAGTGGTCGACCAAGGGGATACTCAAGGATTCTTAAGCCGGGTGGTGGAGATTCTCGAGGATTGCGACGTGGCGGTGAGCTTGGGCGAGCGAAATGCCGCCCGAGTGGTTAGCGAGTTCAGTTGGCCGCGGGCGGTTGAGCAATATGCCGAGTTATACGAGTCGCTCTGCGCTCGGTTGGATACTTAATCCGACTTTCTTTTCGGTGCTTACCCGCACCGAACTGTTTCAGATTCAACGGGTTATCAACTCTGCTCGCATGATCGGCGGGAGCGGCCTGGGATAAATTGCTTGACATATGGTGGCGAATCGATACTTTTGGGGGCGTTGTGGTTGGAAATGGGGATTTGTGGTGAAACATGCTGCTCACCGGCTCATTCGTTCGAGCAGTTGATGAAAAGCTGCGAATCGCAATCCCCAAGCGACTACGAGAAGCCCTGGGCGAAGAAGTGCCGGGGGCCTTGTATATCGCACCCAGCACCGACGGCTCGCTGAGCCTGTACACCCCCCGTGTATTTGAAGAGATGGCAAGCCGATGTGCCGACGCTTCACCCACGGCCACGGATGTGCGAGCGTTCCGACGCTTGTTCTTCGCCCGGGCACAACGGTTGGAGCTCGACCGCCAGTATCGCATCCGAATCCCGCCCGAGCTTGCAGAGCTTGCCAATCTACAGCAGGAAGTTGTTCTCCTGGGCGTTCACGACCACCTGGAACTGTGGGATCGTGCGCGATGGGATACCTACCTAACCGAGCAGGCAGCGAACTACGACCAGATTGCCGAGACCGCTTTGGGTTCGGCCAATACTAAGCAGTCAAAGGAATGATGTAACTGACAGCAGCGGTGGCATATCGCCTCGTGCCACCTGCATGCACTGTCCAACCGTCCACTTCGCACAAAAACCGGTGTTGCAAACAACGGCAAACGCTTGCAACATGGCCCGTCGCCGGAAGACGACGGTTGGTTCTTGTGGGCCCTGAGGCAAGACGTATCGGGGCAGCGGCAGTGGCCGCACCGCGACGCCAGCGCATCGCGGGGCAACAATACCGCGGGCACCAACCTAGCCGGAGGTACACGGAAGTACCTCGGGTCGGTGTCTGGATGGACGCACTGTACTGCTCATCTCTTCGCCTTCTTCTGGCTAAACGAACAAAAGGAATTTGCTGAACGTGCCGGAACATATCCCGGTTTTGCTCGACGAGGTTGTGCAGTGGCTTGAACCGGAACCTGGAAAGGTGATTGTCGACGGCACACTGGGAGCCGCGGGGCATAGCCTTGCGTTGGTATCGCGGGTGGTTCCGGGTGGTCGGTTGATCGCCATGGACCGAGACCCGGCAGCGGTGGAAGCTGCCGAAGCGGTGCTGCGAGGAAAACCGGTTGACGTGGCGTGTGAAAACTATTGCAACATGCCCGAGGTGCTCGACGAGTTGGGCATCGACCTGGTAGACGGTGTGTTGTTGGACTTGGGTTTGTCGAGCGATCAGTTAGCAGACCGTGAGCGAGGATTTAGTTTTACGGCCGACGGGCCGCTGGACATGCGATTCAACCCGACGTTGGGTGAGCCGGCTTGGAGAATGATTAGCCGGATGAGCGCCGAACATTTGGGAAAGGTGATTAAACAATACGGCGAGGAACGCTTCGCCCGCAGGATTGGTCGAAAGATTGTGGCCGCCCGAGAGCAGAAGCCAATTCGCACGGCACAAGAGTTGGCCGAGATTGTGCGCTCGGCGGTACCGCGAACGAAGGACGATCATCTCGACCCGGCGACGCGAACGTTTCAGGCATTGCGAATTGCGGTGAATCAAGAACTCGATGCATTGGAGATTGCCCTGCGTCGCATCCCGGGCCAGTTGCGAAAAGGAGGGCGGTTGGCCGTGATTAGTTTTCATTCGCTGGAAGACCGGATGGTGAAGCAGGCGTTTCGTGATGATCCACGGTTGGACGTGCTGACGCGGAAGCCGATTACGGGTACTGAGGAAGAAATTGCGAGGAACCCCCGGGCGCGGAGTGCGAAGCTTCGCGTGGCCGTGCGGAACGACGAACAAGTTGTGATGTAGTTGGTGTCGGATGTGTTGGCCGGGCACGGTTGGACATGCCGAGCGTGGCACCCTAAGGAAAAGAATCAGCAAAGATTGATCATTTTCGCCGAGTGATCCGCAGCTTTCGGCGAAGCTTGGATACTGTCGCGGGAAGGAAACCGCTATGAGTCGTAAAGTGAAACGGCACGATGCCGAGAGCGGCGAAGGTCCGCACTCGAATGACGATTCGTTCGAGCAAGAAGACGACCTGGGGGGCGAAAGCCGCTCGAAGAGTCTCTGGAATCGTGAGACGATTCTCTCGCTGATCATCATGATCGCCCTGTTGGCAGGGTTGGGGGCGGCATTGTACTTCCGCTTGAGCCCCGAATCGGTGGGCGACGATCCGTTTGCGATGCTGCGCGGTGACGCACCGAAGCCAACAGAGAGCGAAGACGAAGCTGCGACGGATGAGAGCGATCTGACCCCACCACCGGCAGCGATCGCCTCGACGGAGATGACTTCGTTCCCGACGGTGGCCGAACCGCAGGGGGACAGCTATGGCGATCCAGCCTCTTATCAGCAGTCTGACCCGTGGCAAGGGACTGCGACGGTGAGTGGTCCTCAGCCAGCGAGTGCGTACGCCGAACAAGCGGGAGCGATGGCCGAAGAAACGGTCGACCAATTCTCGCAACAAGGGCAGCGAGCGATGGACGGCTTCAACGAGCAGGCCGATTCGATCGCTCAGCAAGGGCAGCGAGCGATGGATGGCTTCAATGAGCAGGCTGATTCGATCGCACAGCAAGGTCAGCAGGTGTTGGATAGTTTCAGCCAACAGGCCGACTCGCTTTCTCAGCAGGGTCAGCAAGCGATGGACGGCCTAAGTGAGCAGGCCGATTCGCTATCGCAGCAGGGGCAGCAGGCGATGGATGGGTTTACCCAGCAGGCCGACTCTTTGACGCAGCAGGCAGGTGATGCTTGGGATCAAACCAGTGAGGCGATGGGCGGGCAGTTTCAAGAGGCTGCCGGTGCGGTGAGAGAGCAGGTTGATGCAGTTTCACAGCAGTTGACCGATGGTGTTTCGCAACAGACGCAGCAAAGCTTGAGCGACCTGGCGAACCAGGCTCAAGAGGCCGTGGATGAGTTCACCGGTCAGGCTGGTACAGCAGCCGAGGAGTTCATTCAACAGGCGCCCGATGCAGTGGATGCGATGACGGGACAAGCCAATGATTTCGTCAACGAGCAGATGCAGCGGGCCGAGCAATACACGCAACAGGCGGGCAATGCCGCGCAAGATGCATTCGACCGTGCGACAGGTGAGGCGAATCCGTTGCGGACCGGAAGTACCACGCCGCAAGAGTCGCCTCTGTCGGCGTTTGAGCCGTCCTCATCAACGCCTGCTGCGGACGCTGGTGGGACGTCGGCTTCGCCCGAGTGGTCGAACACTGGGACGCAGCAAGAGCCCCGCGTGGTGATTGCTGAACCGCCGGCCCAGATGTCGCCTACTCCAAGAACAACTCCGTCGGCGGCTCCGGCTGTGCCGATGGAGACAAGTCCGCCGAATACCGGGTACGGTCAATCGCCTCCGGTGGCGTCGACGCCTTCGAGCCGTCGCTCGTCGGACGGGTTTGGGCAACCACCGGCGAGTTTTGATGCCTCGGCGTTTGAACCTCCTGCCGAACGGGTGCCGGACTACACGCCGCCAACCAGTCGGACGATGCCTCCGGCGGTGACGAGCACGCCGCCTGCTTACGGATCGCAGGCCACGACGGCTCCGCAGGCTGCATCACCGGCCGTTTCGCAGACTCCCACGGGTGGAGGTGGTACGGACAACTTCAACCGTAGCGAAGCCACCTACACGGTGCAGGCCAACGACAACTATTGGCTCATTTCCGAGAAGCTGTACGGCACGGGGGCTTACTTCAAGGCGCTGTTCGAACACAACCGGGACCGTTACCCGCGGGCGAACCGCTTGAAGGTGGGCGACCAGATCCGTACACCGCCGGTGGAGGTGTTGCAGCAAACTTATCCGAAGCTGTGTCCGCGACCGCGGGGGAGTTCGACACCGTTGGGGGCCACCTCGGGTCGGGCTCCGGCTTCGCGAATGCCTGTTGGTAGTGGACGAACTTACGTCGTGCAGCAGGGCGATACGTTGTACGACATCGCCCGGTATGAACTGGGCGAGGCGAACCGGTGGTATGAGATTCGGCAGTTGAACCGGGACGTGCTCGGCGAAGAGGCCGACCATTTGCGACCGGGTGTTGAACTGCGATTGCCGGCGACCGAGGTGGCGTCGCGTGCTCCGGCGACGTTGAATCGCTAAATGCGCTCGAACTCACCCAGGGTGGCGCTTCGCTGACCCTGGGCTTTGTTGTGCGACCCCATTGGGGTCCTTCGAGGGAATGCCTCAGCTCTTCTAGCTGTTCTTAGTTGCTCACCGGTGGTAGTTCTTTCAGGAATTCTCTGATGGCCTTCGTCGCCGTGGTGGAGGGTGGATCGTTGTGGTCGCCGCCGGGGATGGTGATGAACCGCTTGGGTTCGTTGGCCGCCGCGAACAGGCGTTGCCCGAACTCGTAGGGCACGATGGTGTCGGCGTCGCCGTGGATCTGCAGGAACGGGCCGTGGAAGTTCGCGATCTTGTTGATGGAATCAAACCGAGTGCGGAGCAGCATCCGCACGGGTAACCACGGCATGTGGAATGCTGCCACGTCGGGGATCGACGTGAAGGTGTTTTCCACGATGAGGGCTCGGGCTCCGTCTTTGGATGCCAGATCGACCATCACGGCTCCGCCGATTGATTCTGCGGCGAGGACGATTTGATCCTCCGGGATGCCTTCTCGTTCGGCCAGCCACTTCCGGGCCGCACGGGCGTCGGCCAGAAGGCCGGCTTCGTGGGGATCGCCCTCGCTACGGCCGTAGCCTCGATAATCGAAGAGCATGAACGAAACGCCGAACCGCTCGCTCCACATTTTCATGAGTGGCCAGCGATGGCTGAGATTGCCGGCGTTACCGTGGGCGAAGAGCACGACCGCCTGGGGGTTGGGCACGGAGTGATACCAGCCGTGCAGCTTGGTGCCGTCTTCCGATTCGAAGTAGGCGTCTTCGAACTCGACGCCCGGCGGGTTCCACTCACCCACGGGGTATTGCTCTGGGAAGTAAATGAACGAGTTCTCAAACACCATCACAAACAACCAGACGCAGAGGGCCACGATTGCCGCCACGCGGCCGGCGCGGAGGAGCAGTCGGGCAAGAGGATGCGAATACCAGTGAGCCGCGAGTTCAGCCATAAGTGCATTAGAGCAGGGGGGCGGGGAGGCTGAAAGCTTCCCTTGGCTCAAGCAAAAACTCTTTGATCAGCACGATCTCTCCGGGACTCTGCCTTCCAAAAAAAACGCCTCGTTGACGGCAGTTGAAAGCCATCAACGAGGCGCGGGGGGAGATCTTAGTTAGCTCTGGGATTTAGTCGAAGTGATACGCCGAGTTGTTGGGATCGAAGTCGGCGTCGGTGAAGTTGTTGTTGATCTTCAGGTTGAGGTACGTGTATTCCTCTTCCAGCACCGGTTCGCCGCCGGGCGTCTTGGGCCAGCTCCAGGCTGCGTAGCGGACCGGAACGACCAGCTCGTCGTCGATGAAGATGCGAGCGATGTGGTAGATGAAGTTGCGACGCGGCACCGGGTGCACGGCCTGAATGCAGGTGCAAGAGCGACCGTTGATCTTGGTGCCCTGGAAGAACTGCACTTCGCATTCGCCGAACTGAGAGTCTTCGCGACCTTGCTCGATCAAACGCTCGGACAGATTGAGGATGCCGAGTTCGGTGATCGGGTAGCGATTTCCTTCCATGGCGAACATGCCGTCGGTGGCGAGATTGACCGAACCGATGGCGCGACCTCGGAACCCGTTGGGGTGGGCCACGAGTTTGTTATTGTTGCGACCTTTGACGTAGATCACTTCCTGGCCCTTCTTCTCTTCGGGCGCCAAGAAGTAGAGGTAGATGCTCAAAGGGTTGTGACGAACCTTGCAGAAGAAGTATTCGTGTTCGCCGAGGACGCCGTCGATACGTTCGCGTTTGATGAACGTACATTGGTAGTCTTGGATTTGGCGAACGTTGGCGATGCCGGCTTCGGCCCAGCGAAGGGCGGGCATCAGCGGGTGCTCTGCCGGTTGCTCGGTGGAAACAGTTTCAACATTGGGCCGTTGGGCGATGATCTTGCTTCCCGCGGGAAGTTGCTCTTCGGCCAAGGCGGTGGGTAGAGTCGAGAACCCGAGCAGCCCGAGGGCGATGCGGGCGATGAACTTTTGCATTCCGTGCTTCATAAGACGCGCTCCGTTGTGCGTCACCCATTGCGTTTCGAGCGACTTGCAGATCTTGGGAAGCCGCTGTCACTGCAAGCGGTGTATGCAGTGGCGATCGGCAGATGAATGGGTGTGCAATTCATATGCCGAAGCGATCAGTCATTCCTTGACGACCACCAATGTGAGCCGCAAACGTAGACCGCCGCCGGAGTTATTTTCCGGTGTTCGGTTTGCAAAGGTCTAGCAGGGAGCAGCCGTGATGGTACTATCGTCAGCTTGCATCCACGAATTTACAATGCGTGCATTCGGGGGGACTCGGGTTGCCCAACCGTTTAAGTTGCCGTCGTGCGGCCGCCAAGATTCGGCCGTGCGACTCCTACAGCCGTTTTATTCCGGGGGAGACGTAATACGTGACGTCCAACAAGCTCTGTCTGGAGACCATCGAATCGGTGCCCTTCATGGAAAACACTTTCGTGGCGAACCTTGAGGGTCGCAACGATTGCCTAGTGGTCGACGCCGGACTCGAACCGCATAAGATCCTCGATTACCTCGATTCGAACAACCTCACTCCGGCGGCAATTCTGTGCACCCATGGACATGCCGACCACATTGGCGGCAACTTCGCGATGAAGGAACGTTGGCCCGATTGCCCGATTGTGATCGGCAAAGATGAATCGCCCATGCTGACCGACGCCCGGCTGAATCTGTCGGGCATTTTCGGTACCCCCGTGACCAGCCCTCCGGCCGACATCACGCTGTGCGAGGGTGATACCTATGAGGCGGCTGGGTTCGAGCTCGAGGTGTTCAAGATTCCCGGCCACTCGATGGGCCATATCGTGTACGTGTGGCACTCCGATCCCTCGTATGTCTTCGGTGGCGACGTGCTCATGCAGAGCAGCATTGGCCGCACCGATTTCCCCGGCGGGAGTTTTGAGAAGCTGGCCGAGGGCATTCACGAGAAGTTGTTCACACTGCCCGACGATACGATTGTGCTGCCCGGGCACGGGCCCCCGACCACTACGGGGCAAGAGAAGCGTTCGAACCCGTTCGTTGGGGAGAATGCCGACTTCTTCGACCTGGGGTGACATGAGCCGTTTGTCGAAGGATTCCAGCGAGCGGAAGTTAGTTTCGATCGAGGTGATCGGCTCTGAGGAGAGCTACGCAGAATCGGTCTTGAGCGAGGTCGATCTTTCCGAGAAGGGCTTCGAAGAGGTTGAGTTTGTCCAGTCGCTGCTTTCGAAAGTGGCTGCCAGAAAGTCGCAATGGAAGTGGCTGACCTGGCAGGGCGTGCGGCTGGAAGACTGCGATTGGACCACCGCCCGGGTGCAGCAGGGTGTTTTCGACGAGTCGAAGATCGAACGTTGCCGTATGACGGGGTTGGAGGTGTTCGATTCGCAGTTCCGCGGCTGCCGGTTCGAGAAGTGCAAGTTCGATCTGGCTTCGCTGCATGAGACGAAGTGGCGAGATTGCCGGTTTGTGCAGTGCGATCTGAAGGCTGCCGACTTCCAGGGCTGCGAACTGCGCGAGGTGGTGTTTCGCCACTGCGATCTTCGTAACGTCCGGCTGCTTGGCAACCGGCTGAGGAAAATCGATTTGCGGGGATCGCAGGTGGATGGCCTGCAGGTGGAGGCGGAGAACCTACGGCATTTGACGATCGACACTTCGCAGGTGTTGTACTTCGCGTCGTTGAGCGGAATTGAAGTACGCGAACTCCGGGACGATGAGTGACCCGACGGGTTAGCTGGAAGAGCGGGCCACGACTTTTTGCTCTTGCTCAGAAGTGCCTTCGTGGGCGGGAGCTTGTTCGGGCAGCGGGCGATGGCCTCGAATGCGGTACTTGAGCAGGTTGAAGATGAATTCGACCGAAGTGCTCGCATCGACGTTTGATTTGCCGCCGGGGCGGACCTGCCACATCACGTTAACTTCCATCACGGGAAGCCCCAGATCTCGGGCTCGGACCATCATTTCGGGGTCGATGAACCAATCGCGGGATTGGATTTCCATGCGTTCCAGGTATTCGCGGGGGAAGACCTTGGGGCTGCCGTTCACATCGAGCGAACCAATGCCGGGGAAGAGGACATTGATCACGCCGTTGTAGACGAGCGACGTGAATTTGCGGCGGAGGCCCTCCATACGGAAGCGGCGGCGAATCTTTACCAAGGTGGGGCGCTCGAGATTCAGAGCGACGTCGCACACTTTGGCCACATCGCGCGAGTCGCACTGGCCGTCTGCATGGAGAAACCCAATGATGCGGCCCCGGCAGGCTTCCAGACCGGTGAGGATGCCGTGCCCGTAACCTTGGTTGACTGGGATGGTGCGTTTGATGATCGGCAGCCCGTCTTTGATCAGGTCGTCGATGATTTGGCCGGTGTTGTCCTTCGAGCCGTTGTCGACGAGGACCAATTCGAGACTGATGCGGATCTCGCGGAAGGCCTGGACGAGCCGCAGAACTGTGATGCGGAGACAGGCCGCCTCGTTGTAGCAGGGGATGGCGAGGGAGACCTCGGGTGCGGGGCCGCGATCCATGTCGTGTTGCGTATCGATGGTCATGAATCGGTGACGAGTGAAACGCGGGTGCAAAAGATGCCCGCTGGTGTAGCCCTAGCATGCGACCCGACTTATTGGGCCGCCTCGCTCCCACGGAATCGAGTATAGCAAGGGCTGACGGCCGTCACACGCAATTGGCCGAATGGAATGCGGTGGAAAAGAAACCTCACCGCAGGGCTTCGCAATGGTCGAGCATTCGCGGATGCTGACCAAATCGATCGGGTTGGGGCGGTTATGAGCCTGGGCGAGGCATGGCGAGGCTGTGCAGGATGAGCACGGCACCCACGGAAGTCACGGCCCAGCCGAGCCATTCCGGCACTTTGATCGATTTTTGCGGCGTGGTGGGGCCAAAGTTCGGGATGAATCGGGCCACACCGCCGGAGTCGGAACTGCTCGATCCCATGCGTTGCTGGATCTTGGCACTGATGTGCTCGTTCATCACGAAGGTATCGACCAGCCGGAACTGAATCCCAAGCAATACGAGGACAATGCCTGCCATGAAGTATTGATTGCGATTGATTTCCATGACTCACGTCTCCTGATCTCGCTCGACCTCGATCGTAGTTCCGTATAAAGCTTGAGCCCCTGGACGGAACACGGGAAGCCAGGCCATCCAGGCGTAGCTACCGTTGAATACTATCGAATCGCGCGAGCCTCTCCCTTCAGTGGGCGGAGCACAAGCGACTGAGTATTGAGGGAACGCACTTGCGGTTAGCGCGAATGTGATGGTGACAACACAACCCTAGCGACCGAAGAGCATCGCTGTAGCGAACAACTGGGTGAATCGCAGTGAAACGATGGTGAGGGCTGTGGGGCGAGTGAGAGACCGCGCGATGCTTCGGTTTGCGCGGGTCATTCCGTTGCGAAGCTGATGCCCTTGGCGGCGAGCGTTTGGAAGCGAGCGGGATTGCTTCCGGCCGTCCAGGCCATGCCTCGAAGAAGGATCAAGCGGAAGATAGGGTCTTCGAATGTCCAGACGTAGTGCCCTGGGACACTGCAGAAGATGCGACCTTGGTTGACGCGATGTGTCCATAGCATGGGGCAAACGCGCACGGCTTCGAGCGAGGTGGCTAAGACTTCGACTTCAACTCGGCTCGGATCGCCCTGCAGTTCCCAATAGGTTTCGTCGACCAGGTACAGGTTTTCAATGCCACGCATGATGGGATGCTCGGAGGACTCATTCGAGTCGAGTCGTAGCGGGCCGTGGCGGTATTGAAGTTGAGGGCGGCGGCCCGCCAGTCCGAATCGCTCGGCCAGTTTGTTGGGGTCGTGGTCTTCGACCATCGCCGAGTGAAGCACGACGACCCCGCCACCGCGAGCCAGGAAGGTGTCGAGATCGGCGTAGCGGTCGGGGTTCCAATCGTGGTTCCAGAAGTAGAAAACGACCAGATCGGCTGACTGCCACTGGTTGGACTCGGGCCATTGGTAGGCCGTGTCTACGGTGACGCCGGGGGCTTCGGCGAGTAGGGCTTTCCAGTTGGACTGCCACAGTTCGTACTCGTGTTCGCCGGGGCCGTGGTCCTTCTCGCCGGCGACCAGGCAGATGCGTAGCGGTTCCGTCGATTCATCCGCCGGGGTGGGCAACGAATTCAAGACAGCGTCGAACTCGGCTCGGCTGCGAAGTGGTGGCGGTGTGTCGTTCATGGAGCGTTTATGTGGGTGCAGAGCGCTTCGTAGCTTGACGAGATTCAGTGCGTGGCCGACGGATTGCCGTCTTGCGGTTGTAGGGCCGGGCAGACCTGTTGGGCGAGCTGATAGACGTCGTCCACGCTGATTTCTTGCATGCAGACATTGTTCTTGCACGGCGACTTGCGGTGGTTGAAGGCGTGCAAACAGGGGCTGCAGGCCAGGCCCGCCCACAGCGAGTGGTTGTGCGGCGAGAGCGGCGAGTAGAGCTGGGGCGTCTCGGGGCCGAAGATCGAAATGATGGGGATGTCGGTCAGTGCGGCCATGTGCCCCGGGCCGCAATCGCTGGTGATGAGCAAGTCGGCCAGGGTAAACAGCGTGACTAGGCTGCGGAGTGTTGTGTCGCCGGCGACGCAAAAAGCCCGGTCGGGATTGATCTCGCGGGCGAGCGCCTCTGATGGTTCTCTTGCGTCGGGCAAACCGGTTAACAGCAGGGTGGCTTCCGGGTGATGCTCCAGGATGCGGCGGCCGAGATGTAGGAATTTGTCGCGCGACCATTGCCGCAGCGGAAGGAGGTCGATGAGATTGCAGTTGAGAACGATCAGCGGTGAGCTGGGTTCGCCGCCGCACTTGTTGGCCAGCAGCGAACGCATCTCTTCCTGCTCTTCCTCGGAAGGACGGAAGGGCGGCAGGCGGTAGTCGCCGAGTTCGATTCGCTTTTTCAGCAGTGGAACCTCGCTGAGCGGTTCGCCGATGGCCTCGACCATGGTGAGGAACTGGACGCTGGCGTGGTTGTAATAGTTGTACGAGATGCGGTGCGTGAAGAAGTCGCCGCGGTAGAGGCCTTCGGTCGTATAGCGATCGAGCCCGACACGCATGCGAGCGCCCGAGAGACCGCTGAGGATGGCGGAGATGCGTGAGAAGCCTTCGAGGTCGATCACGCAATCGATCCCTTCGCGGCGGCATCGGGCAAGGAATTTCAGGACGTCGATCGCAAACGTAAACAGGTTGCGGTCGCGGATCGTGATCAGGTTGTCTTCGGGAAAGAAGTTCAACAGGTCGTGAACGTCGCGATTGCCTGCGAGCATGAGGCACAACAGGTTCTCTTGGCCCACGCGTTTACGGGCCGCCTCGAAGGCGGGGACGGTGAGTACGATGGCCCCCATCTCGGCAAGCTTGATGAAGAGAATCTTCTGCGGCGGATCTGTTGGCGAACTTCGTGAGAACAGGCGTGAGATACGCAGAAGTTGCGTCAGCAGCCAGCAGAGCGGAACTCCAATCCAGAGGTCGAGTAGACGGCTGGTGTTTTCATTCATGGAAGAGGAAGTTCGGCCCGATGCCCGAGGGTAGATTTATTTCGAATTGTCCGCGGCCAGTTCAGCGGCGAGTTGTTGGATGCCCTGAATGATGGAGGTGGTTGAGTACTCGTTGTGCATCTTGGTGCAAACGACCTCCCCACCGTTGGCTTGTACGATTTGATAGCCCACCACCTGATGCGGAGCGTACTGCGCCGCCTTGGCCAACACATCGGGCATAATACGCTGAACCAGGGGTTCAACGCTAACTTCGTCGAACAAAACGACGTAATCGACACATTCCAGGGCCGTGAGCATGGCGGCCCGACCTTCTTCATCGATCACAGGGCGTTGGGGGCCTTTGAGCTGGCGGACGCTGACGTCGCTGTTGAGTCCCACTACGAGGCAATCGCCCAAAGCCCGGGCTTCTTGCAGCGAGGCGACATGCCCTGGGTGGATGAGGTCGAAGCACCCGTTGGTCATGACGATCCGCTCGCCCTTCTGGCGGCGTTTGCGGAGTTCTTCCAGTAGATCGTCACAGGCGAGGGCCTTCAGATGCCGCATGGGCTCGTTGCCGTGCAGCTCTTCGAGCAGCTCCTTGCGGGTGAGGGGGACGACACCGAGCCGTTCGACTTCAAGACCTCCGGCCAGGTTGGCCAACTCGACGATCTGGCTAGCCTCCAGACCTGCGGCCACGCTGTAGCCAATGATGCTGAGCACCATGTCGCCGGCGCCGGTGATGTCGTAGACCTCGCGTGGCTTGATGGGGCTGATGCCGTGGGTGCCGTCTTCTCGGGCCCAGGCCATGCCGTCGCGGTCGAGGGTTACGATGGCCGAGTGTACGCCGAACTTGAGGAGGTCTTGGGCCGCTTCGATGCCGGCCTCGGGCGTTTCGATCTTTCGTCCTAGGGCCAGGCTGGCTTCGAGACGATTAGGGGTGATGCAGGCGCAACCTTTGTAGCGGCTGTAGTCTCCTCCGCGAATCGGGTCGGCGATGACCGGGATGTTCTTCTTTTCTGCCGCAGCGACGATGGCGGGAATGATCTCGCCGGCACAGACGCCTTTGTTGTAGTCGCTGACCAGAACCACATCGACGCCTTCGAGGTGCGAGGTGATTTGCTCGATCATCTGCGAGCTGAGCGACTCGTTGAGCGGGGCATCTTCCTCGTGGTCGATGCGAATCATCTGCTGTGGATGCCGGCTCTGTGCACGACCGAGGAAGCGTTCTTTGACCGTGGTGGGGCGGTTGTTGTCGGTGAGCACGGCCGAGGCTTCGACCCCTAGGTCGTTTAACAACTCCATCACGCGTGTGGCGGCTTCATCATTGCCCAGCACGGTGGCCAGGCGGACGTTGACCTCGAGTGCGGCCAGCATCGAAACCACGCTGCCGGCTCCGCCGAGGCGTTGTTCGTGGCGGTCGACGCGGAGCAGAGGGATGGGGGCCTCGGGGCTGATGCGATCGACGTTCCCCCAGTGATAACGGTCGAGAATGACGTCGCCCACCACGAAGATCGTGGGGTTGAACGGCCGCTGGAGCACTTCAGTTAGATGGTTCGACATATCCTACGCACATACAGAGAAAACGACCGGCAGATTTGGCCCACGAACGGAACGATAGCGAATTGATCTCACCGGAGATACCCGCGAGGAATGGACTGGGCCCTTCGCTCCCCACGGCCTGGCAATTCGACGGGGCTCTCGGTGCTGATTTCAACTGCGTGCTTAGTATAGCAAAAGGGCCCAAAATCGCGGACGCCGCTTCGGCCGCGTTTTACCCTGAAAATGGGCCGTTTTCCGGCGGAGGTTGTTCCCGGGGGCTACGTGGTCAGCGGGAGCTTTTGCTCCACGAGACGACGGGCAGATGCGGCCACGGCTTCCAGGTCGTTCTCGCGGGCCACGAAGACTCCACGGACGCGGGCACGGCGGATCACCCCTTTTTCCAGGCTCTCGAAGAAGAGCTGGCTTTTGCAGGTGTACCGGGTCTGCTCACCGACGGGATCGGCTACCAGTGATGTCTGGGCCGAGGTCGCGTCGTTTTGTTCCTCGCGGATGAGGACGTCGCTGGGATGAAGCAGTTGGGCGTAGGTCACGTTACCCGGCAAGCGGAAGATGAGACCTTGGACGCAGCGATGTTCGGGCGGGGCGAGCGTGAGTTCGGCCTGTGATCGCAGCGGACGATAATTCGCTGGGTCGGTGCCGAGGCATTCAAACACTTCGCTAGCGGTTACCTGCGATTGCACGTGCAGGGTTGGTTGGCAGTCGAGTAGATCAGTCTGAGCGGAAACCCAGAGGTCGATTTCCGGAGCGATGGACGAGGTGAGTTCGCTTGCTTCGACGTGCCAGTAAATCTGTGTCCGCACGCCCTGCGAAGACTTGGGATAGGTCGCGACAAGATCGCTTCCACGGGTGTAGGCATCGACCGGCTTCTGGTCTGCAGGCTTGGCGTTGTCTTCGATGCAAACGCCTAAAACTTGCAACGTCGCAGACTGGTCGAGCGCGACTTGAAGCCCTTCTGCAGGACGTGAAAGCGTGAGTTCTGCTGAGTAGTTGTTGGCCGGACTGAGTCGAGCAACTTCACCGGTTACTTTCCAAGGACTGTGTGCTTCCATTGTCGGTGCGTCTATCCCTAGTGCGCGATCGAACTTTTGCGGAACGCTCGCCGCGTGGTGCGAGTGTGTGATTGGTGCATCGCTGCTTGTTGCGATGAACAATAAAAAAACCCCGCCGTTCGAGTAAACTCGAAACGGCGGGGCCGGAACAGAGAAGAGGCCGCATGTATGAAACGCATCAGCCAAGTGCCACAAACCGCAGCTTCACCGTAGCACCGAATGATGAAAGTAGTTTGGTGTTACGACTATTGCTTAGCTAACGATCTCGATGTTACCAAGTTGAACGTGTGTGTCCAGCAGTTTTATAAAAAATCGGACCGAGTGGTCCGCGGGCTAGTCGATCCACCCCCGAGAAGCGTCCAGGTTTGGCTAGCCGGTCGGGTCGCATTGCCGGCGGTTGGTTGAAGCGAGTTGGCCCTCGTATAATCGCGGGCCTGCCAGATACCGAACAAGGAGGGGAGCCTGAGGCATGGCTGTAAATGATGAATTGTTAATGGTTTGCGAAGATGCAGCCCGCGCTGCGGGGGCTGTACTGCTTGAATGGGCGCCTCGCTTTTCGGTCCGCGAGAAGGGCCCAGCCGACCTGGTTACCGAGGCCGACGTGGCCGCGCAGGAGGAAATACAGAGACGCATTCTCGATAAGTTTCCCGACCACGGATTTCTTGGTGAGGAGAGCGGCAAGGACATCAATCCGGGCGCAGAGTACCGTTGGATTGTCGATCCGCTGGACGGAACGACGAACTATGTGCACCAAGTGGCCTACTACTGTGTGTCGATTGGGTTAGAGCGTAACGGTGAATTAATCGTGGGGGTAATTTACGATCCAGTCTCCAAAGATTGCTACACCGCAACCAAGGGCGGCGGTGCATTTCTGAACGGAACGCAGCGGCTTCAGGTTCGCGATACGAAAGACCTGGGCGACGCGCTGGTTTCGACGAGCATTTCTCCGCGAGCACAGCCGGAATCGGCTGAAATGAGGGATTTAGGCCAAATTGTGAGCCGTTGCCGCACCGTGCGACGGATGGGTTCGGCCGCATTGAATTTGTGCCAGATTGCCGCGGGACGGTTTGACGCCTATTGGGCTGAGAACAACAAAGCTTGGGATATCGCGGCAGGTTTTGTCATTCTTCGCGAGGCCGGCGGCTACATTGCTTCGCTCGACGGTTCGGAAGTAGATCTCAAGGATCCGAAGTTCATCGCCGCCTGTACGCCCGAGTTGCACGCGGAAATGTGCTCGTTCATGAGTTCGGCGCAGGGTTGAAGTGGCCTGCGAGGTAGATAATTTCGTTGCCGGTTCAAAGTGTCGAGCATTTTGAACTCTGCGGCGTGCCCCGCCCGGCGATACTACGAAATCCCGGGGGGTGCGTTCTTTTTGCCGGGGTGCGGCTCAGTAGCGGCCACGCTCAACCCGTTTGCATCCAATTGGTGGAGGGCGTTTCGCAGAATCTTCTGGCCAGAAAAGGCCATACGACCGGTCTTCGAGCTGGAATCGGTGTAAAATGTGGGGAGTCTGACGGCGAATGTTTCTTTGTGCGACTCGAACCCCTGGGTACACTGGAAATTGCTGCTAATCGCCCTATCTCTTGTCTTTTCAATGCCGTCGGCGGCGTTTCCGCTGCCCTATCTGATGGCGATTCGTGACGGATGAATTGGTTGCGCTCGAATTGTTGGCTCACACGCGGTCTAGGAACGGGCCTGGTGCTCATGTTCCTGGCGGCGGTGGTGCACGCGCAAGCTCCCATGCAGGCGGGGGATATGCCTGCGATCGAACGAGCAAAAGCAGCCAGCGAATCGGGGCTGGAGGCCGAACCTTCGATTTACATGCTGCCAGGAGAAGACGGCAAGCTGCAGGCGGTGCTCAACTTCAAGCTGGAAGATTTCGAAGCACTGCTCGATCTTCAGCGTCAGCAGGGGATGGCCACTGAGCCGCCGGAATTTGCCCTCTCGATGAAGGCGGAGGGCGAGGCCCTGGCCAACTCTGTGAAGATGACGGTGCGGTTCGATGTGGAAACCAAGTCGGATGCCTGGACCCGTATTCCACTGAGCTTGGATGAAGGGGTGCTTGTGGCCGAGCCGCAGTATTCGGGCGAGGGCGATTTTTTTCTCGCCCGCGAGCAGGACGCCCAAGGTTTTGTGGCGTGGATTCGCGCCGAAGCGAATTCAAAACATGAGATCACCCTCGATATGCGGCTGCCGATCTCGCAACTGGGTGGAGACACTCGACTGCGGATGACGGTGCCGGAGACGGTGGTTTCGTCACTCGAGCTGATTGTCGATTCACCGGGCGTTGTCGCTCGGGTTAGCGACGATTCGGTGCTGGACACGGAAACGATCGAGAGCGACGAATCTACGCGGTTTGAAGTGCAAGGTTTACGAAACAATTTTGAATTGGCTTGGCGGGTTCCGGCCGTGGAGGACACGACGGCTCCCACGCTGCTGCAGGCTAGTGGCGAGTTGTTGGCCACCGTCGATGGGCGAACCATTACGACGGAAGCGCGACTGATGATCAACAGCTTTGGCGACAGCAGCTTCGACTCGTTCCGCGTGAAGTTGCCGCCGGGTTCGCATCTGGTACCCGGTCAACGCCCGGGCTACACGGTGGTGGAAGTCACCCCGGGAAATGGCGACCAGGAAATCGCGGACCGCGAGGTGGGGGTTCAGCTTGATGAGGCTCGATCGGACGCCATCGAAATCTTACTGGTTACCGAGCGCCCTCACGATGCGGCCAACGAGCCCGAGCCGATTGAGCTGGCCGGCTTCGATGTGGTGGGGGCCGTAAGGCAGACCGGCTACATCGCGGTTGAAGCGCTCGGCGACTGGCAGGTGTTGTGGGAAGGTCAGCGCAATGTTCGCCGTGTGGAGACGGTGCCTGAGTCGCTCACACGAGATGGTCTAATCGCGGGCTTCGAATATCTGGGTCAGCCGTGCTCGCTTACGGCCCGAATTCAGCCGCGGGAGACGTTGATTGGCGTCGATCCGAATTACCTGTTGGAAGTGGACGACGACCAGGTGAGTTTGACGGCCACGTTGAAGTACACCATCCGCGGGGCGAAAGCTTTCGCCTTGGAAGTGGATGTTGAGGAATGGGAGATCGATGAACTGGGGCCGCACAGCGTGGTCGACTCGAAGGGGGTGGTGTTGGACAAGCGCTCGCCGCTCTCGATTCCCTTGCTTCAACCACTGACCGGCGAACAGGAGCTGACGATTAAAGCTCACCGGCTGTTGGATGAGGATGCGACTGAGATTGATGTTCCGCTGCCACGGCCGCGAGTAACTTCGTTGGGGCCGGCCAAAGTGCAGGTGGTTGCCGCTGAGAATGTGGTGTTGTTGCCAAAGCCTGATGAAATCGTGGGGCTCAGTCGCAATACCGCTCAACCGGCAGAGCAGGGAAATTCGCGCCAGCAGAGAACGCTGTTGTACCGAGGTGATACTCGGCCGGCGCGGTTTGTGGCCGACTTTAGGGTTGAGTCGCGGAGTGTGTCGGTGGAGTCGAGTGCGTTGTTGAGTGTGGACCGCGAAGGCGTGACCGTTACCCAGGCACTCGACTATGACGTACGGTACGAGTCGCTGGAGCAGATCGGTTTGAACCTGCCGCCGGGACTGGCGGACGGAGCGGACATTGAGGTGGTGTTGGACGGCCAACCGCTTGTGGCCGCAACCTCACCGATTGCCGTGGACCGTGAGTCGACCGTCGCGGTGGCGTACGACTTAGGCGAGCCGCGACTGGGCGAGTTTCAGATTCAACTTCGGTACGTTCAGCCTTGGGAGCAACTTCCGCGAGAAGCCAGTGTCGCCCGACTGGTTCCGTTGGTGATGCCGAATGACGGGACGCTGAGCGAGAACGAAGTGCTTGTAGACATCGATCCGGGGATCGAACTGACGCCACGTGACGGAGCGTGGGAGTTGGAGCCCTATGTGTCGGCCGATTTAGCGGCGCGGCGGCCGGTGCGATTTCGCGCTGAGGGGGCGGTCTCTGAGTTTGAACTCGTGTTGAGCTTGAAGGACCTGCGTCCTTACGGCAGCGCGTTTGTCGATAAGGCCTGGATTCAATCGTGGATCGATGGGCAGTGGCGTCACGATCGGGCCGTGTTTTGGGTGACATCGCCTTCGGATTCGCTGGTGGTTCATCTGCCGGCCGGATCGCGTACGGCCGACGTGCAAGTAAAGATCGACGGAGTGGAGACCTCGCCGAAGCCCACGCCCGATGCGAGGCTCGAGCTTGTTCTTCCTCGCGGCGAGTCGAATACGCATCATCTTGTCGAACTGATTTACCGCGTGGCAAAAACCAGCGATGGCTGGGGAAGGCTGTCGCTCGAGCCACCGATGTTTGATGAGCCGCTTTGGGTGCGACGAACTTATTGGCAGGTGGTTCTGCCTGAAACGCGACATTTGTTTTCGTCGTCGGGCCCTTACAGTGGCGAGTTTGCCTGGACGTGGAACGGGATGGGGTGGAGCCGGGCTCCGTTGGCGGAACAGCCTGACTTGGAAGAGTGGATCGGCACCTCGCATGCGGCGGCAATGCCGCGAGGGAGTAACCGCTATTTATTCAGTACGCTTGGCACACCCGAGCCCTTGGAAACCGTGACCATCGGACGCGGCTGGATGGTTCTGTTGGTGGGCGGCAGCGTATTGTTGTTGGCCCTGCTCGCATTCTACATTCCCGAAGTACGTCATCCCGGATTGGCAATGGCCGGAGCAGTATTGCTACTGGCGGGGGCGTGGTTGCAGCCTGATCTGGCGTTCATCGTGGTGCAGATTGCGATCCTGGCGTTGGTGTTCGTCGTGGTTGGGCTGCTGATCCAGCGGTGGCTGCAACGGCGGAAGGTACCTCAGTACAACAGCCGCTTCCGCGGTAGTTCGATTGTCGAGATGGGCTCGACCGATCGTCAATATCGCCAGTCGGTGCCTGTGGTTACCTCTTCTTCGTCCACACACACTCAGTCCGTTTCGGCCGGGTCGTCCAGTGCGGGCCCGGAACTATGAGTCTTGCTGTGGGTATTCGGGACGAGAAGTGCGGACGCTTTGTTCGCCGGGTGGTTGTAGCCACGGTGGCGAGTTTTGTGTGCCTGAGTCTCTTCACATTGGCGATTGCGCAACCAACAGGGAATTCGAACTCCGGCGAGTTGGAAACGGATGCCGACCTCACATTTCGACGGGTATATGCCCCCGCGAATCAGATCGATGCCTGGCCACGTGGGGCGCAGCCTTATGTTCCGGTGAATCGTGAAGAGTTTGAGCGGCTGACCGAAATCGCGGAGATGACCAGGCGTGGTGCGAGTGGTGCATTGGCCCCGCGGATCACGGTGGCCCGTCACGAGGCCCAGCTTGTTGGAGACGACTTGGTCGAAGGCAGTGGGACGCTAGAGATCGAGCATTTGGGCGAGGACCCGGCGTTGTTGGTGCTGAACCCCTGCGAGGTGGCGATCAGTGAGGTTCGCTGGGAGAACAGTATCTTTCCTGTGCAGATGGGGCTCGACCCTCGTGGGAGATGGGTGGTTGTCGTTCCTGGCAGCGGAACCCTGCACCTGACGTGGTCGCGGCGACTGCTCGATGTGGGGCCCTCGGTCTACAAACTACCACTCCCGCTGCCGAGCGGGGCGATGGCGACGTTGAAGCTGGAGTTGCCGGCGGAGTTTGAGGTGACTGGCGAGCACGCCTCGGTGGAGGCGTTGTGTGAGTCGGACGATGAACTCGCTGCGGACGAAAGGTCGTGGCAGTGCGCTTTTGACGCCGCGAAAGACTCGGCCCTGCTGCTTCGGCAAGTGCGAGGCGAGGAAAGTCCCGCGCGGAGTGCCACCGTCTCCCAGTTGCTGGCTTATCAAGTTACGCCGGAAGGGTTGGCGTTGAACTGTGAGCTTCTGCTTGATGTGGGCAATCAGTCGCTGACGCAATTGGAGCTTGAGCTTGATGCTCCGTTGCAGCTTGCCTCGGCGACTCTCGACCAAAGGGCGTTGCGTTGGAAGGCTAGTGAGACGACTGGCCCTGTGCAGCGTGTCACTCTTGAACTTGAAGAACCGGTGGTCGAAACGGCCCGCGTGCAATTGCTGGCTTTGGCACCGCTCGATCGGGACCGCTTAGCCCAATTCCCTCGTATTCGAGTGCGTGACATTCTGTGGCGGCAAGGCTCCATTCGCCTGGCTGCACTTTCCTCGCTGGTCATCGACGACTTGGAGACCCACGGTTGTCGGCAGATCTCGAGCGAGGCTGATACTGACGGTCAGCAATTCGAGTTTCAGATGTTCTCCGCAGACGGGCATGTCGATGCGCTAGTGCGCCAGCGTGAGCAACGCGTGCAGGTTTCTTCGGCTTCGACCGTGGTGTTGGGGGTTAATGAAATTCGCAATACGATATCGGTCGAGTTTACTGCGAGCGAAGGGCGTCGATTCGAGTTGAGTGCTGAGGTGCTCCCGGGCTGGCAGGTTGTTTCTCTGGCGTCCGATCCACCGGGGGCCGTCGATAGTTGGCGGATTGAGCCTGCTGGTGAGGCCGCGGACCAGCTTCTCATTCGGCTGTCTCAGGGGCTTTCGGTTCAGCAACCGTTACGGCTCGTGGTGGATGCCCGAAGGGCAGCTCCCGCGCGGGGCACTCCGATCGGCGTTTCCGAGCTGGAGACGTTGCGATTCAATGAGGCCGATCGCGGAGATCAGCTTATTGAGCTTCGTGCTGAAGACGGTTCTCGCTTGACGTTTCTTGCGGCGGAGAATGCCACGCCGACCAGCTTTGCCGACCTCACGGCGGCACAGCGGCGTTTGTTTAGCAAAGAAGTCACGGCTCCGGTGTACTCGATTGGTCGCGATACCGAATTGGTTGTGGCGTTGTCGCCACAGCAGCCGCGGTATTCAGTCGCCATCGACGCGAAGTTGGTGATTGAGGGAAAAGAAGCTGTCGAGCAGACCGTGTTTCGCATCACTCCCGATACTCAACCACTTCAGCGGTTGCTGGTTCGTTTTTCTAAGCCGACGACGACGAAACGTAATTGGTCGCTCGCGGGGCTATTGGGCGAGCCGGTTGAGGTGCTTCCGCCTACCGAGGAAGAGCTTCAGCGTTTAGGCTCGGCGGCGGGTGAATCGGCGGCAATTGAATTTTCTGAACCGCAGACAGTGCCGTTTGAGTTGTGGTCGGTACGGTCACTCGATGCTACTAGCGCTGTGGAACTGGGTTTGGCGACCGTGCCCGATGCTACGGAGCAGACGGGGCGGATTACCATCGAGGCTGCCCCGTCGCAGTCGATTGCGATTGGCCGCTCCCGGCTGGAACTAGAGATTCCACAAGACATCGAGAATGGCCGGTACACCAACACGCGGGCATCCTACCGGTTCGATCCGCAGACCGACTTCGACCCTGCTCGCCCGGTGGTGCTGACGATTGAGACAAACCCCGAGGATCGCGGTAGTTCCGATCTGATTGTTTGGTCGTCGCGAGTCGATAGCACGCTGGAGGTCTCTGGGCGTGGGATGCACACGGCCCGTTACTGGCTGGAAAACTCGGGACAGAGTGAATTGAAACTCACCGTGCCTGAGGGGTGTCAGGTCAACGGTGTTTGGGTCGATGGTTTGCCCATTTCACGGCGGGTCACTGAAGACGCACTCATCGTTGCTCTTCCAGCATCGCTGCGCTATGTGGAAGTGTTGGTGCAGCTTGAATCCTCGGGTGCTCCACTGGGGCTAACGAGCGTTCGAACCGCGGTCTGGCCTGAGCCGGATGCTCCGGTCTTGTCGCGAGAGTCGACGATTAGTGTTCCTGTCGAGTATGAACTGTATCCGGCCGGCTCTGGGCAAAGTTCTTCTGGTGTGTCGGGGGTTTCTTGGACTCAACGCTTGTTTGGGCCTTTGGGGCGTTCGCCTGAAGAAGAAGCCTTTGGTCCGGCGGAACTCGAGGGCTGGCTGAGCAGCGTGTCGCAAGCCGCGACTACGGATACGAACTCTGGGCTGAATGCCCTGCTGGCGCGGTTGGGGGTGGCGATTGAATCGACGATGGTTACCTCCGACTCCGCGGACGGTGGTACGGCGACCTGGGGACAATTGCTGGAAACCTGGAATGCTGTCGCCGAAAGCGAGCAGACGCCGCTGCTGATCGATGTGCATGCTCTCGCAGCCGTGGGGATGAATGCTGAGACGCCGCTGCTGCCGGTGGCTCGTTCGGTACCGCGGAATCAGACCTTGGCACTGTTGCACCGTTCGCAACTGATGCTGGTGCTGCATGGACGAACGGTGATCTTAACCTCGGCCGCGGCCAACGCTGCAGAGGCGTGGCGAGGTGAACCGGTCTATGGAAATACGGTCGTCCGTGACCGCGGAACTGATTGGAACGAAGCGATCGAGCAAGCAGAAGCTGGATTGCCGGCACGATTGGCCCCAGTGGCCGGCTGGAAACTTCGCAGCTATTTGCCGTGGGGTGGTTCCGGTGGAGTTGGCATCGAGAGCGAACTTGGGCGTGTGAATACGATCTCCACGGCCGATCCAAATGTCGCTGTGCGTTACCGGCTTGTCGACGAGACGCGGCTCAACTTAATCGGTGGAGCGTTGTTTCTGGCCGTGTTGGCCGTCTCGCTCTGGCGTGGTCGACGCTATCTACCAGTGTGCGTGGTGCTTACCGTGCTGTTCGCCTCAGCCGCGCTGGTTGTTCCCGCTTGGTTGGTGCCGGTCAGTTCTGCAATGCTGCTGGGTGCTTTGGTTTTCTGGGGAATCTACCTACTAGTCCCGGCAGGCGAAGTGAGGCAGGAGACAAGCCTGTCGCAGTTCGGCCGACCGGCGATGAATGTCGCCCGTTCCTTCTTGCTGTTGGCATTGTTGTTTGCCGTGGGGCATGGCGAACAATCGTCGGCCCAAGACGGCGTGAACCAGGCGGCAGAGAAGAAGAGCACCCCGTGGATCTTCGTGCCGGTGGACGAAGACGGCAAACCTACGGGCGATCGCTACCATGTGCCGTTGGAATTCGATCGACGCTTGCGGGCATTTGTGTCGATGGCCACCGAAAAGCCGCAGGGTTGGATGCTGGGTGAGGTGAACTATCGGGCGGCTTTCACTTGGGACGCGAGCGGAACCCGATTGCAACTGGAGTCGTTGCGGGCCGTCTACCAATTCGAAGTGTTAGACGCCTTGAGTACGGTGCAATTGCCTCTGCCGGGCGGCGCGGGCATTTCGAGTACTGTCTCGGCTCGCCGCAACGGTAGCGCGATGGAACTGCCGTACGATTCTGATACGCTTACGTTTGCGGTGCCCGTGGTTCGCCGCGGTTCGCATGAGCTTGAGGTTTCGCTGGCCGCCATGGTGGAAGAAGGGGTGATGGCCTCGGGCTTCTCGATGCCTATCCCGCAAGTGCCCACTTCGAAGGTGGTGGTGGAGTTGCCGGCCGATGCCCCCGAGTTGGAAATCGATTCTGCTCTGGGGAGAGTGACTCGTTCGGCAGATGCCTTGAAGGTGGAGGCCGACCTGGGGGGAAGCGAGTTTCTCACGTTGTCGTGGCCCAATACGGCCATGCGACGCGAGATGCAGCCCAGCAGCGAAGTTGATGAGTTGGTGTGGATTCGAATCGACCCCGACGCTGTTTTGGTCCAGGCGCAATTTCATCTGCGAGTCACTTCCGGCAGTGTCAATCAATTGGACGTGGAAGTTGATCCGCGGTTGCGGCTGCTTCCGATGGTGGGAGACGACTCGGTTGTTTCCAAGGCAGAGTACGTTGGCGACGATGAGCAACTGATCCGGTTCCATCTCGATCCGCCGGTAACCGATGAGGCCACCATCGAGGCCTCTTTCCTGCTGAGAAACGTTTCTGCCATAGGACGGTTGAATTTGCCGGAGATGGCCGTGGTTGGTCAACGGCGACGTCAGCGATTGCTGGCCGTGTCGCTGGCCCCCATATTTCGGGCCGACCGGGCGGAGGGCAATGGTTTCGACGAAGTGCCCACGGCCGATTATCTGGCCCTGTGGGGAGAGGCAGCCAAGGTGCCTGATCTGTCGTACCGGTTGGCCACTTCAGATGTGGAGTGGAGTTTGCCGCTGCGTACGGCCGCTCCGCGGGTGACTGCTACCGAATCGTTAACGGTTGAGTTCCAGCGGAATCATGCGGAAGTGGAATTGCTGGTCGATCTGGAAGCTGAAGTTGGCTCGACATTCCAGTTGGAGGTTCGTGCCCCCGAGTCGCTAGAAGTCGAACTTGTTTCTACAGCGGTCGAACCACTGGTGAGACGATGGACTCGACTTCCGTCGGGCGATATTGCCGTGTTCCTCGACGGGGCAATGACGGGCCCACAGCAGTTGAGGCTTCGCGGCACGCTTCCGACGCCCGCCGAGGGTAAGTTCGTCATCCCGGATATGGGGATGATTGGCTGCGAAATGACTGAACGGCGCATCGATGTGTATCGTCGTCCTTCGGTATTAGTAACGCCGCAGGTGGCGGAAGCGTTTTCAGGGGAGTTGATTGACGTGCCGGCCGCGACAACGTCGCCGCGGCGGTTGGTTGCTTCGATGGTCGGAAATGCCGTGCTCCGCGAGTTGCCTGTGGAGCTGGCTGTGAATCAGCCTCAGGCTGAGGTGACCTTGGTGACCTCGCTGGTGCGAACCGAGGAGCTCTGGAAGGCAGAAGTCGACTGCCTGCTCGAGGTGCGGCAGGGCTTGGTCGACCTGTTGAAGCTTGAAGTGCCGGAGAATTGGGAAGCCCCGTTGCAGCTCGATCCGCCGCTTCCGCATTGGATTGTGCCAGCTTCGGGGCAACGGCCTGCGATGTTGATGATTCGGCCCAATGCGGCGATTGATCGTCAGCTACGGCTCCGCATCACTAGCGCCTTGGATATTAGTTCGGGTCAGCGTGTGACGGCTCCGACGGTAGCGGCAGTGGATGTGCAACGCAGCCGAAGTTTCATTCGTTTGCCCGACTTGGCGGCTACCCAGCGATTGGAATGGGAGACCCGGGGATTGCTCCCTTCGGTGCTGCCGGATGTGATGCTGGAGAGTGAAGGTGCACGAATGCAGCAAGCCGGAACGGTTTACGAGGTGGTCGGGAACGATGTGCAGGCTGTGCTGCGGTCTACGAGTAAAGGGAATGAGGAACCGGTGGTGTGGTTGGCTCAGGTTGGAGTGGTGATGCATGCCGACGACGCTTGCTATGGTGTGGCCACATTTGATATCGACCCCTCGGGCGCGGAGAGTTGCCCGTTGGAATTGCCTGAAGGCTATGAGCTTCTTCGGGCTCGGCTGGGAGATCATCCGGCTACCTACACCCAAAAGGGGCCTGGCCAGTGGGAAGTAATGTTGGGGGCCAGCGACTTGCCGCAGCAGCTCGAGGTTCTCTATCGCCGCACCAGCGACGAAACCGGCACTGGCGGCATGGCCGCGCCAACGCTGGGAACGCTGCCGGTTCAGCGGACGATATGGACGACTTACACAGCACCCGGGGCCTCGTTTGTGCCCGAGAACTCGGCGGCCGATTTCGAGCGGAGCCTTGAGTTCGACCTGATTCGTTTGGGCAGTCTGGAATCTTCGATGCGGGCAGCGACCGAGGTTCAAGTCGAACATCCTGCGGACGAAATCGAGCGATGGGCCGAACCCTGGTTGCGGCGGTGGATGGAAGCTCGGGCACAGTTGGAGCAGAAGCTGAGGCTTTCTCCAGCGGTTCAAGAGAATCCGGCGTTACGGGCCGAGATCACTCTGCTCGACGTCGAACATGCTGAGGCGATCGATGCATTAAAGCTGGGAGAACTCAACGAACGGCTGTCGCAGGAGCAGGCGTTGGGTGCGTTCACGTCGGATCTATTCGAGGTAAGCACACTGCCCGAGTATGTCGTCCATCAAGTTTCGTCCGATGGGCGATTGAGTGAACTTGCGTTGGTGCCGAGGGGTGGGCTTGCGAGCGGTCTGTGGAGAATATTGGCGATTGTCGCGGCGGCTGTATTTGGTACCTGGTGGCTTTTAAGTTTCGATCGCAGGGTCCGTCTGTTGCGATTTACGAGGCGCTGGTCGCTTTCGTTGATTGTGACCGGGGGGATTCTGTGGTGGCTGTTCTTGTCGCCTAGCTGGCTTGGCTGGGTGGTAGTAATCGCAGCCCTCTGGTATGCGGTGAAACCGCGTGCAAGTGGGACCGCAAGCAGTGCTTCGCTATCGACCCGAACGACGGCGATTTCCCGCTAGGGCGACGGATTTTGAGAAACTTCGGCCCCTGGCAAACCGATAGTGGGAATTAGGGCGCGTTGTCGATGTAGTGTCGAATCCTGCGCGGTTGGAATTTCGCTCTGCGTCTGCTACGTGCGAAACAACAAGCAGTATTGCGATCGAAATCTATACAGAAGCGAGGGCCTTTTCTAGTTCTGCTAGCTGATGTGGCGCGATTGTCTACTGGCCACTGGCGAAGGCTGATTTGCCGTTCGGTTTCATCTTGGCAGTCAGCAACGCATTGGCTAAGGTATGCCCCGTTCGGCTCGCGGAAGGATCTGTCTTAGAGCCGCTCTTCTTGGATTTCGCAATTTCGCAGTATGGCCGACAAGGAAGGAGGCCGCGATGAGTCTGGCGCCTCATCAAGAACTTCGCGTGCACATTCGTTGGATGATCCGTCGAGATATGCCCGAGGTCTTGGACATTGAAAGTGAAAGCTTCGAGTTCCCATGGCTCGAGGACGATTTCATTCGATGTCTCCGTCAGCGAAATTGCATCGGGATGGTAGCCGAGCACGAAGACAAGGTCGTGGGGTTCATGATCTATGAACTGCACAAGACCCGGCTGCACATTCTCAACTTCGCCGTGGCCGAAGCCTATCGGATGCAAGGCGTGGGCCGACAAATGGCCTCGAAGCTGATCAGCAAGCTTTCGCAGCAGCGACGCTCGCGGATTGTGCTTGAAGTTCGTGAGACGAATTTGCCGGCACAGTTGTTCTTCAAACACCAAGGCTTTCGCGCCGTGACCGTGTTGCGTGACTTCTACGACGACACGCCGGAAGACGCCTACATCATGCAGTATCGCTGTCGCGATAATTCTGCAGAGGTTGACCCCGGGCAAATCCGCCGGATGGCAGGCTAAGAAGTCGGGCTCTGGGTTTTGTGGTGGGTTTGATCTGCCGTTTAGCACCCCGCGTGAGCGATCGATTCGCTTGCGCTACAGGTCGAGTGAGGTGACTTCCAGCGAGGGAAGCTCCACCACGGCGATTGAGAGCGGGCGTGCGCGGAACAGGGCCCCCGGGTTGAGCACCAGGGTTTCGCCGATCATTTCCTGCTTCGCGCGGTGTGTATGTCCGTGGCATACCAGGTCGAACGTGCCTGAAGTGATGCTCTCGACCAGCTTGCGGTGGTCATCGCCGTGTAGAAAGGCGATGGCCCGACCTTCGAGCTTCAGCGTGCCGAACTCCTCGTGGCATGTCCCGCCGGCTTCTTTCATGGCTGCTCGCAGCGCATCTAGCTGACCGTCGCAATTTCCGAAGACGTAGTGCGTTGGCCAGCGAGCGAGTGCGCTGATCACCTCGGGGGTGCCGATGTCCCCGCAGTGGATCACCTGGGAAACGTCGAAACTTTCCAAGAGGTTTGCAGCAGCTCGGGTCGACTCGACGCGGCCATGGGAATCGCTCACAATTCCCAAGCGCAGGGTGGAACTCATACGGGCAGTCCTTGTATGGGAATAAACCCAAGGGCGGTGATTCTTGCCGCGAGAAAGGTGTTCTCGCGTACGCCCACGATCCTGGCTGGCAGCGGCTGGCTTGGCTTCGGGGAATGGCTTGAAGTGCTTTGACCGACTATATAGATTTCGCCTACCATAGCAAGCAACTTTCCCACGCGCTCACGGTCGTGCGCCTGACGCACATCCGATTGTTTTGTTCCACCGCCGAACTGGTCGTGCGTCGATGTATGTAGTTCTGACCGGAATTCTGATTTTCCTCGGTGCTGTTCTGGCGGGACTATTTCTGTTTGCGTTGTCCTTCCGGCTGACGACCCGATACACATGGCCGCAGATTGCGCTGGCCATGATCAACTGGTTTTACGTGCGGTTGATATGGCGAGTGACGATCCATGGCAAGATGCCTGATTTTGGTGACAAAGGGGTTGTCATCATCTGCAATCATGCCAGCGGTGTCGATCCGATGTTCATTCAAGTGGTGATGCGTCGTGTGGTGCATTGGATGGTGGCTCGGGAGTACACCGACCGCAAGTCGATTAGCTGGTTCTTTCGCATCGTGGAGGCCATCCCCGTGAATCGCCGAGGGGTGGATACCGCGGCGACGAAGATGGCGATTCGTTACTGCGAGGAAGGCGAACCGGTGGGAATGTTCCCTGAGGGGCGGATCAATACGACGGACGAACTTCTGCTGCCAGGCCGGCCTGGGGCTGCTTTGGTGGCGGTGAAGGCAGGGGTTCAGGTGCTGCCGTGTTATGTGCGAGGGGCGCCTTTCGACGGGAACGAATTTCGCAGTTTCCGGACGTTCGCACGAACCCATCTAACGATTGGCGAGCCGATGGACATCTCGGAGGAGGTCGCTGCCTACAACGAGAACCACGGCGAAGCTGAAAAAGAAGTGCTGAACGCACTGACGCTGCGATTCTTGCAGGAAATCGCCAAGTTGGCGGGCGAACCCGAGTTCAAGCCACGGCTGGCAGGGCGAAAGTGGCTGCCCGATGCGAACGGCGACACAGACCCTTCTCATGACGATGCCACGGCCAGCGATCGGGCCTCGTAGCAGCACGATATTTCTGCTGCCATTGTGGCTCCGCGATATGCGGGCTACTAGAATGCGGCCTGTAGGGGTCTCTTTCTGAAATACCTATTACACGAACCGACATCGGAGTTGGCTGTGCGTACATTGGCATTGTTTGTTGTGGCGGCGACTCTTTTGGTATCAGCAGAAACGTTGCGGGCCGAAGATGGCTTCAAGCCACTGTTCGACGGCAAGACGCTCGACGGATGGACCGGGGATGCTCGGCTGTGGAGCGTTGAAGATGGCATGATCGTTGGCACCACGGACGGAAAACCGATCAAGACGAACACGTTCCTGTCGACCAAGGAGCCCTACAAGAACTTTGTGTTGCGGTTGAAGTTCAAGCTGCGTAATCACAATTCCGGCGTTCAGTTTCGCAGCAAGCAACTGCCCGACAATGTGGTGGCTGGCTACCAGGCTGACATTGCCGACAAGCGATTCATGGGCATTCTGTACGAAGAGCGTGGCCGCGGCATTTTGCAAGATGTTGATCCCACGGCCGTGGGGCCGAACGTGAACGAGGGTGAGTGGAACGAATATGTAATCACCGCGGACGGGCCGCATATTACTCAAGTGATCAACGGATTTACGACCGTCGATTACACCGAGGAGAGTGAGGAAGTCGCCACGGACGGGATCATTGCTCTGCAACTTCACGTCGGGCCTGACATGCAGGTTTCGTTCAAGGATATCGAGATCAAAGAACTGCCCTAGCTCGAGCGCTTGGTTACCTGGCGATAGATGGTCGCAGCCTGCGCTTCGAGGTTTTTGATCACTTCCGCTGCTGACTCGCCCTCGGCAAAAACCGTTAGCACGGGACGCTGGCTCGGAATATCGGTGCCGGGTGTGGGGATATCGGCTAGCCGTGGATGGCGAGCGTTTCGACGGTTCTCCATCAGATGCCGGTGTAGGGCTTCGTCTATAGTTACATGCTGCGGGGCATAAAGAATTGCCTTGCCACAGCATGCTTGCGTGTTTGCGTTGCTGGTGCGAGAGAGATCACCTGGCAAATCACCGTCGAGGCAGGCTTGCACGTGAAGCCCGACGGAGGACCAGTCAGATACCCGTTCGAGCACCTCCACCGAGGCTGGATATCTGGGGTTTATCTCTACAGGGACGATGCGATCGCTGGAAAAAATCGCATCCACTCCGAAAAGTCCAGTCAGGCCGAACTGCTTGCAGAGCACATTACCGATTCGGCGGAATTCGTCTGTTGCTGTTTCGGAAAGGGGCAGGGGGCCAATCGAACCGGCGTATTGGAATGCTTCGGCGTGAGCCCATGAGGTGGCGGTGAGTTGCTGGGTAATTCCCAGCAAAACTGCTTCACAGGTGTTTCCAAGGAAGACAGCCGCAATCGGCGTGCCCTCGATCCTTCTTTGGAAGTAGTGGTCCTTGCCTGCGGGTTGAAGTTGAGCGGTCCACGGTTGGATGCCAAAACCGCCGGCAGATCTTCGCGGTTTCAATAGCCAGGTGCCGTCGGTCGCGGGGGGATTTTCAAACGTGCGGCATTCAGCAGCGGGCAGTTCTGCATCGCGTAGCGTTTTCGCAACGGCAAATGGATCGCGAGCTGTGCGAAGTTGTTCGCCACGCATACCCAGCAATTGTCTTGACTGTGCAAGGCGATTTATGAGCTGGGGATAGTTCTCCAGTGCTCCGGTATACATCCAGGGGCCCGCTGGAAGCTTCTTCATTGCTTCAATTAGTCCATAGGGATAGCGATGAAGAATCGTTGAGACCGCGATCTCCCGCAGGTCGGCATCGGCGAATAGGTCCGCCGTGGCGACGTTGAAGCCTGAGTGATGTGCCGCAAACGCTGCTGCTCTGGCAGAGGCGCCGGCAATGATTAATGAGGGCATAGTCGTGCGAACTTCCAGAAGGGGCCCTCGTGAGGTGGGTTTGTGACCTATAGTTTCACTGGGCACTCTCCTCGCCACGGTCTTAGTTGGCAAGCCCCCCAAATAAAAACCCAAAAAGTGATAAGGGGATGAAGGTATGCGCGCTCGGCTGCAGAACTCTTTGAAGAGGGCATTTCGACTTCACGGGAAACGCTCCGATCGCTTGGGGTCGACACTGGTGCTAATAGCCTTTTTGATGGTGGCCTTGCTTGGTATGGTCGCTTTTTCGGTTGACCTTGGTTACATCGCCACGGTGAAGACTGAGCTGCAGCGAACGGTAGATGCAGGGGCATTGGCCGGAGCCGGGATGTTGGTTGAAGGGCAGGACGTGGCCACCGCGGAAGTGATGAGCTTCATCGAAATGAATAAGGTCGGTGGGACCGACTTCAACTTTGGAGGCGGAGAAGAAGGGCCGGAATTGGGTGGCGGAATCTCTGACGAGGTCGACATCGAAGCCGGTCACTGGGATCCCGACGCGAAGGCGTTTGTACCCAGTTCTGTGTTGCCTTCGGCCATTCGTGTGGCGGTTACGCGAACGAACCAGCCGCTGTTTTTTGGCCGTATCTTCGGCAAAGATGCTTTCAATGTCTCGGCCGAAACCATCGCCATGTATCAGCCTCGCGATATTCAATTGGTGCTTGATTGCTCAGGTTCGATGAACGACGACAGTGAATTGAAGTCGCGAAACTCGCTGTCGCAAGATGTGATCGAAGCAAACATGTACCAAATCTGGCAGGAATTGGGCTCCCCTCAGTACGGAAATATGCAGTGGACCCCGCAGTACATCAGCTCGACGGACGACAACTATGTGCTAGATCAACTCGGGCTGCGATATCTGTCTTATCCTTATCCCTCGGGTAGCTGGAGGGACTATGTGAACTATGTCCAGGGTAGTAGCACGATCAAGAACGCCGGCTACCGGAAGAAGTACGGCTACCTGACGTGGATCAACTATTTGTTGGAGCAACGCGCCGAATATAGTCAGACTCCCGATTTGTGGAAGACCAGCGAACAACCCATTCAACAAGTGAAGGATGCCGTTACGTTGTTCCTGGAGTATATCCAGGAGGTCGATTCTGAAGACCAAGTGGGGCTGTCGATCTATACCTCTGATGACGGTACCGCGACGCTGGAGAGTAGCCTTACGCTGGATTACGATCTGATCGACACGATTAGTACCCAGCGCCAGGCGGCCCATTACGATGCCTACACAAACATCGGTGCAGGGATTAAGAATGGCCGTGAAGAGCTTGTTAACAACGGTCGCGTTGGCGCTTTCAAGATGATAGTGCTAATGACCGATGGTATTGCCAACCGGCCGGGTAATACATCGCAGGCGAAACAGTATGCTCTAGATCAGGCACAATTGACGGCGGATGAGGGCATCCCGATCATCACTATCAGCCTGGGGGCAGGGGCCGACACAACCCTGATGCAACAAA